CCAACTAACAATTCTATAAACATAAGAAGTGATATTTAAACTTTTAAAAATAACATTATATAAACTTCAAAACAAATTTATTTGTAACTTAACTTCAAATGTAATGTCAATCATAAACATTAATATTAACCAAATAACACTATATATTAGACTAAATATTTGAGTTAATGATTTATATCATAACTAATTATTGTAGGTACTCAATAATATATTAATCTGTTTTGGAAACATATTAGAAATTTAAATTGGATATGATACAAGTTTTTTGGAATTTTAAAGTTTCGGGTTCTTTCGGATATCCATTTTAGTTCGGGTTCGGTTCGGGTAATACCCATAACCCGAAATACCGTAAAACAAGATCCATTCGGTACTTATGTCGGGTTCGGATCGGTTCGGGTTCATTTTTATCGGGTCGGATTCGGTTTGGATTTTCGGGTTCGGTTTTTTTGCCCAGCCCTACTATTTTGTATAGTCTAACAGCAATAATTTTGTTCCTTTGGATTTTTTTAATTCATTTGAGCATAAGGCGATTACCTTATTTGTTTGTACCTTTTTCGTTTCTACCATTATATATGTATTACATGATGTAACCAACTATATATAGTAGATTTTTTTTAATTATTACTTAATAAATTAATAATGTCTATAATTTAATAAATTTTACTGATTATAGATTGGACCCACTCAAAATTTGACATAAACTGATAAAATAATAAAATACTATTTTCATATAAAATTCTATGTAAATATATGGTCCGATTAGAATTATAATTAATAATTTATACGTGTACATATTTTATATAAATAAAAACCTATCATTATATTGTTTTTTAGTTTTACAGTGAAATTATTTTATATTTTCTTAACACTTAATATATTTTGATGAGACTTAGTAATATTATATCTAAAATCACATTTAAATTCTATGCAATATTATAGACAACAAATAATATAATAAAATTAATATATATGTCAAATTTCAAAAAATAATAATTAGAGTCTATACACTAAAGCAAAGATTTTTTTTATCTTAAAATAAATATATCCAAAAATAAGAAATCTGAATAAGGAAATTTTTATAAATTAATATCTCTATAAATTAATAAACTTCTAAATTTTCAATATTATTAATTTGTAGAAGTTTTACTGTATGTATCTTATTTGGAGTATTTATAAGTTTTTTTTTGTTTTGATTAACTTGTGAGTATTTTAAACCTATGAAAATGTCCAAACTAATCATTTAAGAGAAATCTTGAATATGTTTCACTGATACTTCTACTGCAAACTTTTAAATGAGATATAAAACATGGTCTCATATCCAGAGGTGGGTTGTTTCGTACTCAAATCTCTCCGCTGCCTGCCTACCACTAAACCATTCCCATGTAATTTATTTATTACGTTTTACAAAAATCTGTAACTCACATATATGCAGTAATGCCGAATTTGAATGTAAACTGTATTAAAGGTTGATGCCCTGAATCTGTAGCCATTGAGATATAGGGATCCATCAACGGAAGATGGAGTTAAAGTGATCATGGTGATGGAATGGTTGAACTCAAGCAAAATAAGATGAATGTTATGAACAAACTATTTTGGTGATGCTAATTAATTTATTCGGTACCTAAATGAGTTTATATTTGTCTGGGTATGCTTAAATATGCTCATGTAGTAGGTGTTTTCTGCTTTGTTTACTCTTGTTACCGTACAAACTTCAGAACACATAATATAGTCTCACTTTACAGAGATTCATCCTGATTCAAACATATAATCAAACAGATCTTGTAATAATTGTTTTTATAGTTTATATATATGTATATATATATTAAATTTAACATCTATATAGTAAGATTAGTTTTACCATACTAAAACCTCTTAATATATGAAATTTGTTTCTAAAATTTTATTTGTGCTATATAGTTTTAGAAACCAAAGTTAGGGATGTTAACAGGACTTAGATTTGTATAGATTTTGTTGATTTTTAAAGTTGGGAAATTTATTAAATTTGGAAATAATTATAGAGAATTTTGCATATCGTAAAAGTCTATGAAAATAAAATAGTATAATGATTTTAAGAATCTAAGGTATACATGTAGTATTTTTAAAATCTTGTTTTGTGTTAAGAAGTTAAGAATATAACTTCTAATAATACTTACTCTAATAGATCTGTAGAATTATTAAAATCATCAAATCAGTTACACTAGATTCTAATGAGAATATAAGAATCAATAAACTAACAACGCTATACTTGAAAATTCTAATAATCTTTATAAATTCAATTTTCACTAACAACCTAATATATAATTTAAGATTTAAAGACGGGAGACATAAATGATGAATGAAGCTTGTACCAGGAGGTTTATTCGGTCTACAATCTCATTGTTTTGATACATTATGGACGATAAGACGAGTATTATTCTTATTGTGCAATATCTCTTTAACAACAAGCATATAGAGATCAGAATCTGAGGACTTGTTTAGGATGGCTACCTCGCTTCCCCAGAGCTTTATCGAATGCAGAAGCAAAATCTTCGAAAGGAACCAGTTCCGTCCTGTTTTAAGCAACCAACCACAGATTCAAATATACTTTCTCGTCATCTCTTTATAAAGAAAGAACCTCATTATTTGAAAAACAAATCTTTTTTGTGTTTAGGGTTACATGTCAAAAATGAAATCATCTACTTTATTAAAATAGAAGTACACATAAAAAAATATCCCTTATACTTGCACAATATTTACAATTTTATACCACTGATATAATTAAATGAACATATGCTAAGATTTAAATATCTTTAAATTACTTTTAGAACAATATAACGTGTTTGTAACTGGATATTTCTTTTTAGTATAACTAAATCTCGCATAAAACTATATATTCAAAAAAAATAAAATATATATTTAACTATCTCGATTACAATTATTATTTTTTTTTACAAAATTATATAATAATAAGTTTTATATATCTTTGAATTATTTGTAGAACAATATTTAGTATTTATAATCGTAATAAGATTTAAATATCTCTAAATTATGAATAATCTTCATATATATATATATATATATATATATATATATATATATATTAATATTCCTTACTCTCTCCATACATCCAATAAAATCAATGTCTTTATTATAACAAATCAATATAGGGAGTTAAACACATAAAATCAATTATCATTTAATGTATTACTCTTAAATCACCAAATTTGTTACTAAAATTTTTATTTTTATTGAGGACCAATCTAATTATGATACTCAATTTATGATAATTGAAATAATAAATTAAATTATGGCATTCAAACTATATTTTTTGAAATATAATAATATATAAATAATTTTATAATATATATCATTAATTATGAAAATGATATTTATTTATAAAAAAGAAAAATAAACACCCGCTCGGACGAGTGGGTCAAGCTCTAATTTTATAAATTATAATCTGAAATATATGTGATGATTAGTTGGATTTTAACTAAGGCATTTACTTTTATTTATTTTTAAAACATTAATCTAACAAATCATTATTTAAATTTATTTTTAAAGTTAAAGTTTTGCTACATTATCTATAGACATATTTTTGATTTCTTCATGTTTTATTTTATTTTTTAAAGTAACAATTAAACTAATATAGAAACTGTAGTATCTTTTTATAGCAAAATAATATACAACTAGCTATAACAATAAAAACTATAAACTAAATCTTAAAACTACTTCTTTACATACACAGTCCAATCAATCATTTCCATAGAAATATTTTTCAGTTTTTTATAAACTTTTTGGGAATGTATATAAACGTAAAACTCCAAACGCGAACCGAAGGTTTCTTTCTTCATTGCATTTGGTGTTTACGTTTACAACAAACAATATATTTTTTCTTTTAAATGCACAAGGTTATACGTCTTTCTCTAAAATATAAACTAAGTATAATGCAAAAAAAAAAAAAAAAACAATTCATGCATGCCTTTCTCGGAATAATGTTTATATTGAGAAGACTCACTCGTATTTTAGCTTCCCGTCCCGTGCAAGGCCAATAAGATAGTCTACCATCTTTCTGCATTCTTTTACTTTCTCCAAATTCATCCACTTATGAAGCCAAAATCCTCTCAACGAAATGTCCTGTAGGACGATCAAATTTTAACACTCCACACATGCCACACTACACATATTGTCTATTATGGCTAAAAATCTAAAACAACTAGACTAGAATATACTGATTTACACATTACCTTAAAGATGAAAGATGAGGTTGATGCAGTGATTGGTTTCTTAGACATTGCACCATATGTTACCATCGTTCCTCCTTCCCTGAAATATTTATATTTACGTGGTATTCAACTTTTTAATAAAACATTATAAAATTTGATAAATATGTTCACTGTACCTCAAAGTTTTGAGTACGAGAGAAGCAGCATTACCACCGACACAGTTGAATCCCAGAGTAGGTTCAGGCGTATTACCCTATACCAAACACATATATGTTATATATATATATATATATATATATATATGATGCATATTACCACGAATAATATATAATCGGTAAATCATACCAAAAGACTTTTGAAGTTCTTTACATTAAGCTGACTCTCTGAAAACACATAATCTGCTCCTAGAGCTTTCAGCTTCTCTTTTGCTTCATCTGACCCATCCCTAAAGCCATAAATCAAGACAATTTACTTGACCCAATGCGTTCGTTACCAAATTCAAATCTCAATATATATATACATATAACACCTGTCACGAATAATGTTGATGCTATAGATGCCACGGAGTCTTGCTAACTGGATGATACATTGACCCACCATACTTGTGGCGCCATTCTGTACCACAGAATCTCCTGTTTTCATGGATTAGTTACTTGATGATGAATTAGTGTAAATTCTTATTACTTTCATTAATCATTTATGTTTTGTTAATGTCCAAATATATAACGGATAAAATTTCTCAACGGATTCCTGACGAGATTTTGACGAATCTGCCTCTTTTATTGTAGGGTTTTGTGATTATATATATGGTCCTTAGATTCAGAAAGGTGGAAGATCAATAGAGTCAAACCGGGCTTTAAGTCGACAAAGTCCTCAAGCATCCGTAAAGCGGTCAATGGATTAACAGTAATTGTAGCTGCATACTCTATTGGACACCTTTTGTCAATTCTGTGCCATGCACTTTCCTCTTTCACAACATACGTCTGCCAAGTCCCTAACCTCCAAAGAAATATTCACTTAAAATTATTCGTATGTTGTTGTTTTACTTGTCAGAAGTCCTTTCACATTTAAATGGGTCGAAGTTAAGATTTTACCCGACGAGAGTGGAGATGGAATAACCCAATCCCCAGGAGAAAGTGACTTGACCCTTGGCCCAACTGTATACACTTCTCCAACACCTTCTAGGCCACCAATAGCTGGTACCGATGGTCTCACAGGATAAACACCTACAAATTTGATATCAATATATATAGGTGTGAGTTGCAAAAATAAAATTATATATATATATAGGTCTGTGTTTTATATTGTTTCAAACGCGTTCATGTGCATGTCGTTTAAATTTACATTTGAATTTGTTTTCATAACAATTATAAACTAAAATTTATTTAAAGTATTTATTATTTTTGTTCATCTGCAGAATGCAAACGCAAACCCTAAATGCAAACAAATCATTTTTTAAGAATAAGATGTAAAACAAACGTAAATATAAACGCAAATTCAAAATTAACGAGGCTTTTATTATTGAAGTATATAACACAAACTAACCTTAACAGTTGTTATTTCCAATTTTACAAAACATCAAACACACATAAAAACAGTCATCGTTTACTACTGGAGAAATCAAACAAACCTTCAATTTGATTGATATCAGATGGATTGATAGGCGCAGCGATCATCCTGACACAGACATCGTTTTCTCTCACTTCCACGGGCGGAAGCTCCACCACTCTGTCATTGCCGAAGAAAACAAAATGCTGATTATATTAAAAGTTTGAATGTTTGATGCATGTCCGGTTTATTAAAAGATAATGAAGAATGAATAATCCAGTAAAAAAACTCCGAAGACTGAACAGTTCCTGTTATGTTTGAATATATAAGAGTCCATTGACAGATTCCAAATTATATTTCTTCTTTTTTTACAGCAATTACATTACCTTCAACATAATTTGATGTCTTAGTTCCATTTTCAAATATGTTTTCACCTCCATCTTCATATATACATATTGGAGCTCAGGTAAATACAATACTTCTATAGATATTAACGCAAACTAAAAACAATAATTTGTTTAAAAAAATATTGAAAAACTAACTTTAATGACTAGATTTATCCACCGCATTACAATGGCTGGTTTCTAAATTCATGTAATTTACTATTATTTTTATTATTTTGTAAGAACTAACCTAAGTATATGTGTGGAGAAGGTCAATTAGAAATAAATTACTTTGTCATTTATCATCAACTAAGAAGACCAATTGGTGGCCTAATGAAATAAACAAATAGTTGATAGAATATCAAAAATATCTGGATATAATATAGTTCTTATAACTGAGTAATCATAAATCTATTTTATTGTTATATTTCTTACACATTTATATAGTAAAACTAGCTCTCAAAAAAGAAACCCGTAAGAGTTTTACAAACTTTAAGACTGGAAATAGGAAAATTATGTTTTTAAAATGTTAAAAGGGGCAAAATAGTTTAATATTTAATAAAAAGAGCAATTTTGGACGTTTAAGATTAAAAAAAAAGGTGATTGCTGATGATATAAGCGTCGAAACCAAGCTCACCGGGACCAACCAACAACACAAAGAGAATTGCACTATACGAACCTGGTGACATAATCAGGAGAGCCGTGCCGTTCGTACACGATTGCCTTTGACGGTGGAGACATATTGGTAGAGAACGATTTAAGACCGCCATTTTGGGTCATTTTAGTATTTGCAATGGGATCATAGAGATCGGGATATGAAACACTAAGATAAATAAAGGAGAACTAAAGTAACATCAATCATGAGAATTATTCATGTTTAAAAAATTGAATCACTTTCCAACTTCACACCTGTCATGAAAGTGAAGAAAATACTGCAAGTGTAAGCTTTTCGGAAACAATTAATTATTTACTCACACATATTGTACACCAGTAATTAGTCTCTCAAGTAGAAAATATGAATTGCGAATCTGACTCATATGTAAAACATGTAAATCCAAAATTTTGGTTAAGAGGTTTTAATTTTTTTGGATATCTATATCATTAAAATGTATTTATTTTCGTCAAATCTATTTAATAATAGTATAGTTTCCTGACTTCTAAAAGTGTCCACATAAGTATGTTTTGTGGATCTTACAAATAAAAAAAAATAAAAATAAATAAATTAAAAAGTGTAGATCAAGAATCGAACTAAGATTATTTACTTTTCAAACAAAAATTTTACCATCAGACTATTAAGGATTACCATAATTTACGAAAACTAGATTATAACACCTAAGTTATTTTATAAATAAAATATTTAAAATTAGATTTCGTTTTAATCTCTGCATAATTTTCAATTAATCATTAATTCGCTAGGTCTTTATCATCCGCCCGACTAACGCTTAGTGTTATTTCGAACAAGGCTTCAGACTAATCTAAACACATGGTGACTGTTTGTGTTTCTATGACTCGGTTTCTCTTACTCTACCTCTACGTCTCTCATTTTTACTTTGTTAATTAAAAATGGACCATATCCGTAACACTTCTAGTATTCCGCTTAATATATACTCTATCTAAACGGAGGAACCCTTCATCTTTGATTCTCTCATCGATTCTTCCTCCAGACGAATTTTATTACATCTTCTCAAAAATAATTTCTTCTTCTGCTCCAGTTGCTAAAACCGTTGCATGCCTCTCAACTTTTGATTCTCTCTACCTTGGTTGAACTGCTCAGTTTGTGGTTGCTCGCCGCCTTCATTTTGGGGATTCCCGGAACATAAAAAATGACAAATTTATGAGAATTAGAGATGATTGAGAAGAAAACATTTGACATTTAACAAGACTGCATAATGGACCCATTTTTACTCTGTTAATTAAAAATGGACCACGTTCGTAACACCTCCAGCATTCTGCTTAATATATACTCTATCTGAATGGAGGAACCCTTCAACTCTGATTCTCTCATCAATTCTTCTTCTAGTCAAATTTTATCACATCTTCTCGAAAATAATTTCATCTACTGCTCCAGTTGCTAAAGTTGTTGCATGCCTCTCAATTTTTGATTCTCTCTACCATGGCCTAACTGCTCTGTGGTTGCTCGCCGCCTTTGTTTCTAGAATTCCCATAATATATAAAAAATGGCAAATTTATGGAGATTAGAGAAGATTGAGAAGAATCTTTGGCATTTAACAAAATTGCATATTGGTTGCTGATATATATGGTTTTGTAGAACTTTATTAACTAATATGAAAAACTATCACACGCCATATCGACTCAGCTTATATGTCAAATGTCAAAAAATATAATAAAATTATAGAATGCATCAACTATGTATTGGGCTATACCCCTAATATTTTAAAATTATAGAGTTAAGTGTTTGAAATAAGAAAATTACACGATTTCAGAGTTAGTTAATAATAATCTTTTGAAGCTCTAAAAATTTAACTCACTGGCTGTCATACGAATATAGGGGCCATGGTTGTGGGTGTCCCCATAGATGGTAATAATCTGAATGTTATAAATGGTATCAAGACTAGACCTAGACAAGTGTGGAGTTATGAGAGCTTACAACTTCAGGTTAATGACCTATCAAAATGAGCTTCAGTTGGAAAGTTTCACGATAAGTGATTTATTAGACATTGATTTTTTATTGAGGATAAAGCACGAAAAAAATAATGTAACGGTAACAATGTGTGTAAATAAGTCTTTCCAACTTTCCAAAATTAACGCCCAACCATCAGATGGAGATGAGATTTATCGATCCTGGATCAAGTCTGTTGAAACATTCGCCTCAAACTCCCGAAAATTTCCAAAAAATTATATGTTCATAAGTCCCAAAAACAATTTTTAAGCTTCCAAATTAGTTAGAAAATTTTTTTAACTGAATTTTTTTAATAATCATCTAAGACTCCTAAAATCTCATGATCGGCTCTGAATTTATAGAGAGCAGAACGTGGGAACCCATTAACACTAATAGTAGTCGCAATTGGAATGTGTTTTTTCTATAAGTATGTGAATGTTATTATCAAGATGATGATACAAAGGATACAATTAGTTTTTGAAAACAAATACTAATGCATCAAGGATAACTACAAAATATATTAAACAATTATATGAAGCAGTTAGACTTATTATATATGTCACGTGGATATCTTTTCATCTGAATTTACATTACTGAAATATAACAAGATTAAAGAGGTGGTGAACAACTTGAACTGAGACAGGCTAATAGAAATACACGTGGTCATGAATACAGGATACTATTTAAAACACTGAGTTGTAGATTTTCTACTTTTTCATTTAATTGGTTTTCCATTATAGTTTAGGGTTTAGATTTTTCTAATATGCATTTATGGGTAGTCTATTGTACAATAATCAATTGGTGAAAATGATTTCAAAATCAGAAGAATGTCTCGTTTTTGCAATTTATACGAAAAATATCAAGATACTAAAAGATAGATTCCTCACCTCAGAAATCATTAATGTACCAAAGACGCAGATTATACGAGTGGATAGTTTAGCAGATAGTGTCAGAGACACAATTATCCTTTGTCGTTCACATGGATACAAAATTACCGATATGGTTTGAAGAGTCAATATGAGTCTATTTAGATTGATGAGAAAAAAAACTTATTGTACAATAATCAGTTTAGTTCGATAATTTTAAATTAGTACTTAGTTTTCTCCATTAAATGTATTATCATTTCGTTACACAATTAAGACATTTGAGTTCTTACTATTTAGTGTTTACACCTTTTCCATCTTATTTATTCATTTATGGATCATTGACTGTATGTTAACAAGGTTTTGAGTTCATAATTTTCTTAACTAGGGTTTATCGTCTTCTTGGGGTAACAAGACAAAGTTTCTCATTCTCTAATTTACGGATTAAGGGATTATATACTGTGATTTAGATTTTAGAATTTGGTTTAAAACTTCTATTTTTTTTACAGTTGCTGTTAATTTAATTATGCAATGTTTAAAATGCACTTCCTCTGTTTCAATATACATGATGTTTTAGAGAAGTTTTGTTGTTTTATAATACATAACTAGATCTCGACCCGCACAACCGTGCAGATATTTTGATACTAAAATATTTAAATTATATAATAAAATAAATATAATTTGATGTTATATACTATCTAATTGTATAATAGTGTTTATGTAGTTTATAATATTATTAATATAAAATTTGTATTTTTGTAACAATTTTTTAAAAACATTATTATGTAAAATTACTAATTTATATATTTTGTTTTATTTCTAAATTTGAAATATGTGTAAAAAGTAAATTAAGTAGGGCCTACATAATACATACACAAATTTTTGGGATAGTATTAAAAGTATTTTACATAATTTTTTGTTTTTTATAAATAAAAATTGAATTAAATTTTTAATTAAAATTTATGATAATTAAAATTTTAATCAAATAAGTTTTGAAAATATATCTTGAAAATATTCTAAAAGATTTAAAAAGGTTTTGTTAGATTTTTTTTTAAAAATATTTATTTTTATTTCAAATAAAAATTAAAGATATAAAAGATATTATAATGAGTTATGTAAGATTTTATAAGTTTTCTAAAGATGGTCCAAACTAAAAAATCACACATGAAATGAGTCATTAATTCTTTTTTAATATAATAGATGTTTACACAGATCTATATAACTTTAACTTTATCAAAAATTGTGTAACCAATTACATTTTATTATTTTTATTTTGTAAATAAATAAAGTTGTTTAAAATTATATTTTAATGACAATGTTGATAAAAAATAGTTTTCTTAAAACTTGTGCAAATGAGTAAAACATCATGTATTAAAAAAAACAGAGGGAGTATATTGTAAACAGTTCTCACTGACAAACAAAAAATTGTTTACTGAATTATAATGTCGGATAAGATAAATTTCTCTGTTTCACAATAAGTGTCATTATAATATTTTTTCTTGTTAAATAAAAAAATGTCACTTTAGAATTCCAATACAAAATATACTTATTTTCAGCTGAAAATTAATTAAAAACTGCATTGATTTTATAAATAATTCTATTTATCTCAAATACTATTGGTCAATAGATGTAAATAATATCAACTTACATACATTTCAATCACTTTCTTAATCTGCGTGAAAATGTCAAGGTGACACTTATTAAGAAACGGAAGGAATATGTATTTTGATACTAAAATATTAGAAACATTTTTTGAACCAAAACTATTATAAATTTTAAACATTTAAATTTTATTTAGAAAATAGGGTATGTTACTTGGTCCAACTATGGTAGTCACTAAACTCACCCTTAAAACTAAGTGAGCGAATGCATCACCATGTTGTCAGTAGAAGAGTGAGATAAAATGTGTTGTCTACAATGATGTGGCTTTGGGTTACTGAATGAAGGGGTCAATACTTTTTTTTTAATTGGAATATCCGTGTGTTTTTGTTAGATTGATAAATCATAAGGGTCGGTAGAACATTTTAAACGGAGTCGGTATTGAAATTTACAATTTTCTAGAGCAATAATGAATCAACTAAACTTTGTCCGAATCAGCTGACTCATCTCACATACAGTAGAAACACATAGGTTTTGGCTTGGAGTCACATTTAGAATAAATAATCAATGAGAAAAATTAATTACTCCTATTTACTTTGAATATATTTTTTGAAAGAACTTTGAATATTTACCAATCTGGTAAAAATATTTTCCTATTTCTTTAGTTGAAGTTTTAAAAAGGAACACATAAAGTTTTT